GTAAAGATCAAAATGGATGTTGAGAGACAACAGTGTTCTCCAACCTGTGAATACTGAGTTCTAATGTAATAATGTTGTAATAATTACTAAGTACTCATGTGTTTGAACATTAACATGCTGATGTGTTTGGGTTGCTGATTCCATTGCCTGTCTGATTTCATACCTCTGATTTCATACTTCCCTCTCACTGTCCCTATGTGCATCTGTTGAGTCAGTGTCAAATCCTAGGCTTTCAAGCGAATGCATTATAAAAGGGACTAAATAGCCCTTTCCAAAGGTGTGCCAGTTAAACAAAGTGTAAGAAGTCATTTGATTATATAGTTCAACACTGTCTTTATTAAGATTATTACCAAGGCCATCACTGACCATTATACATCTTAGCACAAGGAGTGAGAGTGGCTTAGGGATCTGATTCAAATAATTCAAACAAAGTCAAGTAATAAAAAGCTTGAAAAAGTGAAAAGAAAAATTACACCCTTATTTTTGTGTAGTGGTGAGGATGACTTTAGATGTTCTTTGTTGGATGCACAGCCAAAGAGTGCCATACTGCTACTCCGGATTAACATAAATGCCATGGGCTGACCACCATAGAGCAGCACATTCTACCTTTTTGAATTCCAAGACACATATTTTCAAATTCCTTATCCACTGAAAATGCATAGTGCTTCTTGATGGTTAACATCTCAAGATGGGAAAGTTTAGCTGTTAAAATCATTAGTGTCAAACCCATCAGTTCCACTAGCTGCAGTTGCATCATGTCTTTAAGTAGTCTGTTATTAACACCACTACTGGAGTTTGGTTTTTATGCTTCTAGTGTTTACTGGAATGAGGGTACTTCAAGGAGGTTATACTTTCATTGCTGTCTGTAAATCAGAAGATTACAACTACTACTGTAGGCTTTATAAGGAATGAATATAATGACATATGCATTCTTTGAATCATCTTTGTGTCAAAGTACTTCATCTTGTGTAACAAATCCAATTATCTTTTGCAAGTCGTCATTACATGCCTCCCCATATGCAAATATTCCATCAAAACATGATAAAATGCTTCTTAAAAGAAAGGACAGACAAATATTTTCCACAACTATTGGAGAATAATGATGGGAGCGGCCAGATCTTTTTCCAGTGGTGACACAGTACTGTGGCAAGACTTTTAGAGAGGCAAGACTAGTTCTGAATTTAACCAAATTGACAACGATATGAGGCCATAACAATGTTCCCATGTTGTGTTGCATTGTCACAATCACACTGCTTTTTCTCACTGAAATGCAAAAACATCTCAGTGATGTTCATTTAAAGGAATGTGATGTTTAACTAAAATGTTTTTGTGGCCAATTAGTTACTTGTGCAGCCAGTATGAATAGTTGTTTGGCAGTTGTTACTGTGACCAATGAGATGAGCAGGACCTCAGCAGTTTTCTGTGTGAAACTGCATTTGCTATATGAACCAGTGTTTTTTCCATTAACTATCTTGAATGTAGCAGCCCACCAGATTCATAATGAACTAAAAAATAGTTTACACTTTTTACACCGTCCATGCAGACAGTCAGACCTCATAGTTTCAATAGCAGTTGTGGCATGCAATGCAGTTTTTCTTCAGATCTTTCACTATTTAGCCTGTGTACCTGTCAATCAGAATTTGTTCCGAGGGAGTGTGACTTTTGAGACCATGCTCGTGCATCCCCCATTACAGCCACATATTTAATTATTCTGTGGAAAACACTATATGAACATAAGTCTAAAGTCAGTAACTAAAGTAAGCATGTCATTAAATAATTAACTTCATGACAAATGTCAAATAACGACATTCATATATTGAATATATAAAATTTAGTGTGTGTGTTATTTTTGACAAGGTAGTGTTACATATACAGTGGAAACCGCTTATAGTGAACACGCATATCCCAGGCCAAATTTATCACCAAAAGTTGTTGATTACTTAAACCAAACTGAGTAGCTTGTGTATGATAGTCCCAGAACTTAAAGGAAAAGTAACGGTGGTCTTTAAGATAAGGTTCGATATCACATCGCACACAACCGCCCGCAGGCATACACACACGCGCTCTACTACTCACTTCTCTATTTCTCACTGTTGCCCTGACTCGTGAACGCACACACAAATCACAAGAGACACTGACATAGAACTGCTACAGTTTCTATGTTGATCTGTTTGAAATGGCCCCCACATTTTCAACACTGATCACCACATAATGATCGATAGTCTTAAATTAGTAAAATCCTTCATCACAGCTGCATGCATGATTCAGTAATTCAGCTCATCTCTCTCTCACACACACACTGGGTAAAACAACAAAATGTGTGAACTTAGACAATGTTCGGAGAGCTGGAGGAGATGGTGGTGTCCTTTTGGCTCAATTCCGTTGGCAGTGCGCAGCGCGAATAATGGCAAAACAGTGAGGAGCAGTAAATTATTGACAGAGCCGGTAAAGCTGTAGAAAATAACTTTTTTTTTTTAAAGGTCCAAGCTTTTTTGAACCATATAAACGGTTCATCACTCCATCCGGTTTCCACTGTATGTTGAATATAGATGTTTAATACAATTGCTATAGTAATTTTATATCGAATTCACCGTATGTGTTTATTAAGTTGCATCTCTGAGCTGCTGTAACACAGGAATTTCCCCTGAGAAATCAAGTCTTTTTTATTAAAAACACACCTGGCCTGCTACAATAGTACAGTGGAGAAAACATGTGTCAGTGAACATTTTAACACTCACTTGAAGGACAGAGATTGTTTATGGCAACCAAAACTGAAACATGATGCAGCTGCATCTGGTGGATGAGCAGTCAAGTGAAGGGGCCCAGAAATATGCAAATTCTAAATAATTTCTAATCAAAATCTTATCCCTTGAGATGGTCCTCAGGCTGCCTGTAAAGCTAGAGGAGATTTAAAGTCAAAACTGGAAACAATGTTCACACAGTTTATCTGGGCATTGGCGCATTAATGTTACAGGTTATTGATTTGAAAGTCTATGCACCAAAATTCTCTCAATATCAATTTTTTGCTACATTTTACAGGGTACCTCCTAGTGGATAATGTTAAGAGTTGGATTAGTGTCAGTGTGTATACCATTAGTAACAGTGGTCAGCAGAGCAGCATCTCTTCAATGTGAACACCTAGACACACTGCAAGAGTTATATGTACTGATCTGGAGCAGCTAGAATGGGAGTGGAAAAAACATGACCTGAGATTACAGATTATACAAATATATCACACACACACACACACACACACACACA